AGCTTGGTGATAATGGGCTGAACCACCTCCTCAAGCTCCTTCTTCTTGGCCTGGAACTCATCCAGGTCAGCATCTTGGTGGGATTCCAACCATTCAATCTTCTCCTCCACTGCCTTCTCAATGGACTCCTTATCGTCATCTGACAGCTTGCCACCAAGCTTCTCCTTGTCACCGATCTGGTTCTTCAGGGAGTATGCGTAGCTCTCCAGCTCATTGCGAGCGTCGATCCTCTCCTTCAGCTTCTTATCTTCGTCAGCAAAGCGTTCTGCGTCGTTCACCATGCGCTCGATGTCCTCGGGCGTTAGCCGGTTCTGGTCATTTGTGATTGTGATCTTGTTCTTGTTGCCTGTGCCCTTGTCCTCAGCAGTGACACGCAGAATGCCGTTGACATCAATCTCAAAGGTGACTTCAATCTGCGGTACACCGCGAGGAGCAGGGGGGATGCCAGTCAGGTCAAAGGTACCCAGGAGATGGTTGTCTTTGGTCAAAGGACGCTCACCTAAGAGAAAAAAAAAAGAAAAAAGCCAACAATTAGACTTGTGGAACTTATTTATTTCACTGTCACCGGTTTCTTGTCATTGGAGTCTTTGTATAAAAACACTATTTGGGAAATTTAAAGAATAATATCCAAACTCTTACCTTCATAGACTTTGATGGTGACAGTAGGCTGGTTATCAGAGGCTGTAGAAAAGATCTGAGCTTTTTTGGTGGGCACCACAGTGTTTCTGGGGATCAGCTTGGTCATTACTCCTCCAACAGTCTCAATACCAAGGGTCAGGGGGCACACATCCAGAAGAACCACATCACCTGCAAGTGAAGGAAAATGTTTAGTAAACAGGACCACATTTGAAAGCTCACCCCTGTTTCAAAGAATATCTCTAAAAGTGATGAGTCACCAGTGTCCTCCTCTCCAGAAAGCACGCCAGCCTGCACAGCAGCTCCGTATGCCACAGCCTCATCAGGGTTAATGCCTCTAGATGGCTCTTTGCCATTGAAAAACTCTTTCACCAGCTGCTGGATTTTGGGGATACGGGTGGAGCCTCCAACCAGGACAATCTCATCAATGTCAGACTTCTTCAAGTCAGAATCTTCCAGCACCTTCTGTACAGGCTTCATGGTGGAACGGAACAGGTCCTGGGTTTTGAAGAACACACAGGTTAAAAAAAAGCTCGGTCAACAGTTTCTCCCATAATGTTTGATATGCAATATTTTCAGAACCAAATTAATATCTTACCATGTTCAGCTCCTCAAACTTGGCACGAGTCAGGGTCTCAGAGAAGTCCTCTCCCTCAAAGAAAGACTCGATCTCAATGCGGGCTTGGTGCTGGGCAGACAGCGCCCTCTTGGCCTTCTCGACCTCGCGACGCAGCTTCTGCACAGCACGGTTGTCTTTGCGCACATCTTTGCCAGTCTTTTTCTTGTACAGCTTGATGAAGTGCTCCATGACACGCTGGTCAAAGTCCTCTCCTCCCAGATGAGTGTCACCGTTGGTGGCGACCACTTCGAAAACACCGTTGTCAATGGTCAGAAGAGAGACGTCAAAGGTGCCACCGCCCAGATCGAACACAAGAATGTTCTTCTCTCCGTCCTTCTTGTCCAGGCCATAAGCAATAGCAGCAGCAGTTCTAAAGAATACAATGAGAGTTTATTAGAAGGGAGTGCAGAGATATTCTTTGGAGTTTGAAATTGCAAATTCATTTTGACTGGATGCTTACGGCTCATTGATGATTCGCATAACATTCAGACCAGCAATGGTACCAGCATCCTTGGTGGCCTGGCGCTGGGCATCGTTGAAGTAGGCGGGGACAGTGACCACAGCATGTGTGACCTGAGGAAAAAGGATAAAGTTAGATTTGATGATACACCATTTAATTAAAATTTTCCCTGTTTTACAATCTCTGACTTTTTGTACCTTCTTGCCCAGGTAAGCCTCAGCAGTCTCCTTCATCTTAGTCAGCACCATAGCAGAGACCTCCTCGGGAGCAAAGGTCTTCATCTGACCACCACCAATGTCAACCTGGATATGGGGCTTGCTCTTCTTCTCAGTAACCTTCAGAGGAAAACATATTAATATTAATTTAACAACAATTTCACTCAAACATGACCCAAAGAACAAGCAACTACAAGTTTTACTTTCAGTTTACAAGCTCACCTTGAAGGGGAAGTACTTGATGTCCTGCTGCACAGACGAGTCACCCCATGTGCGACCAATGAGCCTCTTGGCATCAAAGATGGTGTTCTCAGGGTTAGAGGTCAGCTGATTCTTGGCAGCATCACCGATCAGACGCTCACCTTCACTGGTGAAGGCCACGTAGGAGGGGGTAATTCGGTTTCCCTGGTCATTGGCAATAATCTCCACACGTCCATTCTTGAACACTCCGACACTGCAAGAAAACAGTTTGAATTTAGTCTGAATGCCATTTTATTCCACAGTGGTATCATGTCACTATTTAAAGATTTTAACGTGACTTGTTACCATGAGTATGTGGTCCCCAGATCAATCCCAACCACAGTCCCCACGTTGTCCTTCTTATCATCATCATCGTCGGCGGCAAACACTGTGCCGACTACCAGCATCACAACCCACAACAGCTTCATCTTTGTTTGTTTGCTCTCCAATCTACAAGGAAAATGCAGAAAAGAAATACAACGTAAATCAACGTGGCTTTGAAATCAATAAGTGGACTAAGCCTCCCGAGTTCATGAAGCTAGCAGCTAATGGTACTGATGTGATTTGCTGAGCTCCAGAACCATAGCAGATTTGAAGTTGGTCTTAGATAATAAATACTATAAACATTTTTGACTACGTTATTGTACCTAGAGTATAATAAGTCCAATCCGTTTTGGCAACTTAAAATATTTTGACAAAACTGTGATGTAACATTGGTTGCAATTCCTACTACCTTCTTGGCCAGCTCCTCTTAAAAAACAACAACAACCACATTTTATTCTTAGTGGCAATTTAAAAACAAAAAAATATTTTATTCTAAGTGGTAATTAAAAAATAATCAACAAATAAAACATATTTCAAAGTCACTCGGCATTTTTAAATATTATTCTTTCCTTTTTCTTAAACACCGACTACTTCGTGATAAAAAAAAAAAAGTAAATGTAAATGTAAAAAATGATCATGCTGATGATAGACGTTTTAACCTTCATATATAAATCTGTGACGCACTTGCCCCTGTTGTCAGTTTAGCTCACTCCGTTTGGACGCACCAACATGAATCCCAGTTTGAAGCCGCCGGTTCGAGTCTTACCTTCGCCAATTTGTAGTTGAGGTCTTGATAGCGTCTTTTTTACAAAATAAAACAGTATAAGCAACGATAACCTCCAAAAGTTCCAATACTGTGAAGCAAACTGTGTCTATTTTGTCTATTTCACATAATTGCATCTGTGAAATCGTGTATATATAGAAGCCTTCGTAAACAAGTCGTCACGCTTTCCCGGTTTTGAGGCTCGCTATTGGTTGAGCTGCTGTTTGGTGGAAGGCGCTGATTGGTTTCGTCTAGCGCGCTGGCTGCACCTGATTTGCACATATCAGGTTTAGGCGACGTCACCGTTTGTGCCGAAGTGTGAGTGTGTGAATGTAACGCCACAAGTATGTAAAAATAAGTGAATGTATGTATAAATGTATAATTACCTCCGCCAAGGCAGTTATATTTTTGTCAGTCTCCCACTTAAAACTTTTGATAGAAATCTGATAAACCTTCGTAGGAGTGTAGTGTGAGTTCATGTTAACAACACATTAAAATCGGCCTTGCATACACTCAGGTCTTCATTGTAAACTTAATGACCTATTGGTCTATTGGTGGAAAATTGCCAAAAGCCTTATAACTTAGACTCTAAAGATTTTAAATGTCATACCAAATTTAACCTTTGACCTCTCTTTCAAGTTCAAAAGATTAATCTGAAAGTCAGAGGGATAATGCTACATGGAGATATTTAAAATGATAATAGGTTTTCAGACTGCCAAGAACATGTTGAGGTGGGACACTTTTTGAGTATAACTGATTCATTTTATTATGACTTTCTTAAGTATTTTATGTAACAAATGATAATCATTTAAATATATAGCAATAGGCATACATGTACAATGTTCCTAAATAACTATTATGTTTTTACAAAAACTAACTTTTTTCACTTGATAAATTATCGCTAAACATTTAAACCATTTTTTCTAAACATTTCAACAAATACAATACAAAATAGCCTGTTGCAGAAACACAATTTTTGTTCCAATTTTTTTCAGTTCCTACTACAACTACCATAAATGCCAAATATATCACAGTTTGACAGACAAAATTTGTATTTTTGCACCGACAAGATGATTCCCAAAGAGCTATTAGGTGAAAACTTGGCATATGTCTGCATGGTTTGTAGATTGTTTATAAAATATCAGAAGAAAATGAACAAGTGGAGGACCAAAAAAAAAAAAAAATTTCAGGCCTAAAAATCTACCGCAGGTGAATATTGCCTTAAAGTCATGACCTTAAGAAACAGGAAAAAATCCAGCAAACACCTGACACAGGACCTGAGAAATGCATCTAGCTTTTCAACTGATCCATCTGCTGTTTATTGAAGCCTCATCAGAAATGGTCTAAGTTGAGGGGTGGCTCTCAAGAAGCCATTCTTAAAGAAGGGAAGCAGGGAGAAAAGGCTGAGGTATACCAAATAACACAGGTACTGGATTGAAAATCAGTGGCAACAGGTCTGTTGGAGTGATTAATGAAAAAATGAAATCTTTGATGTAAATCCTCATCGATATGTACAGAGAAGGACAGGACAGAGCTACAACAGAGAGAATCCACAGTCACCTGTAATACACAGTGGAGACTATGTTATGTTTTCGAGGAGCATTTCAGACAGTGGCGTTGAAGCTTTTTTTTTAAACTGGTGGAATTCTGAACGCAGAAAGGTACAGTCAGATTTTGATCCACCTTGTTGAAAGCATCTAATTGGCAACGGCTTTATTTTCAGCATGACAGTGATCCCAGTATACCCCCAGTGCAGTAAAAGCAGACCTGGATTTAAAGCACACAAACAATGGAACACAACCAGTCATTGATTGGCTTCCCCAGTGCCTGGACCTCAACATTATTCAAGCAGTGTGGGATCATCTTGACAGAGAATGAAAACAGCCAACATCCAAACACAGCTTTAAATGTCTTTCAAGAAGTTTACGTTTTCAAAATAAGATACATGATTCTTTAATATTTTTATTAAGGGGGACAAAAAGCACACATTTTAAATATCAAGGGGCATGTATTCTCTGCATTGCCCCTGAAATTGTTTTTTTGCTGCTGTAAATTATGCCTTTCTGGTTTCAGTTTGAACAAATGATATGAAATATATATATGTTTATATGAAAGTAATTATTTCTTTCTCTGTCCATCATTTTCATGTAAATCTGTTGCAGTGTCTTCTACTTGGTCCCAACCTGAAACACAAGGCAGGCACCCTCCAGCCACACGTGATCACATCATTGTAGCGGTGGATTCAAAGATCTATATTCATTCACTATGTCAACACACATGCAGCATAATTGTTCAGAGTATCACTGCATTGCACTGGGATGATATAAAAATATCTGTTAAATTATCTTTAAAGGGAACGTGAATTGGGAGAAAGTGCAGGCCAAAGGAGATATTCCACCAGGAGTAGCTGCCCACTCAGCTGTTGTGCTGGGCAAAAATATCTACATCTTTGGAGGGATGACAGCAGATGGAGCAAGCAACTCCATGTACAGATTTAACACTGGTACACTGTCTTTAAGCCATTCATAGTTTGTTTGTTTTT